GGCGGGCACGGCCCCTCTCAAGCTGCCCCGGGTCTCCTACTATGGGGTGCCCAGCCTGGCCACCCTCATCCCCAGCATCCAGCAGGTGCCCTACTCCCAGGGGGAGCGGACCAGTCCAGGGGCCAGCAGCCTGCCCACCACCGACAGCCCCCACCTCCTACCACAACGAGGAGGATGAGGAGGATGATGAGGCCTACGACACCATGGTGGAGGAGCAGTACGGCCAGATGTACATCAAGGCCACGGGCAGCTATGCAGGTAACGCACAGTGGGGGCCTGGCCCCACGCCACTGCTGCAGCCGCCCGCCAGCAGGCCTGGGTGGACCTCAGGCCCTGGGTGGGCACCGAGGCAACCCTGGCCTTATCTGGTGGCACGCATAGCCTGGTAGTAAGATGGGCATGTCCTGGGGCCAGGACAGCTCGGGGAGGCCCCTGTGCCAGATGTGTGCAGGGGAGAGTCCCCAACTGGACTGGATGAGCTGGCAGCATCTGAGACCTGAGGTGGGAGCAGGACCTAGGTCTGTCTTGCAGGGCCTTAGTGAAGGACTTTAAACTTGATCCTGGATGAGATGAGAGGCCATGGGAAGGTGTCCAGCTGCAGTGTAGCATGTTTCTTTCACTGGACAGGTGAAGAGACTGAGGGCCTCAGTGGACCAGGGATCTGCCTGAGGTCTCACAGGGTACTGTGTGACCCAGGCTGGTCACTCGCCTGCTCGAGACCTCAGTGTCCCTGTCTGAAGTGCCCCAGCAGGCCATCTCCATTACCTTTGACCTCAGCCCTCTCCCTACCCAAGTGCTTTTGCCTTCTCTCTGACTCTCAGTGAGTTCAGAGTTTCCCTTGGACCTGTCCCATTTGTGGCCATCTTTCTGGGCCCAGCACCAAAGGACAGGCCAGACAGTGCCTGTTGAATTGAATGAGCTGCCCCTCAACTTGTTCTGAGACCAGAGGGGACTGCTGCCTTTGGGAGCTTTAAGCCCACAGTGCTCTGATTTGAGGTGCTGCCTGTAGGCTGTGTCACTGTCCCTGGGGGCCGCTCAGAGTTTGCCGGGTGGAGGGTCCTGTAGCTGAGGCCCCGGATTGGTGTCTCCAGCCTTCTGTGTTCCCCGAAAACTGGCTGTGTGCCTGGGCCCGCTTCCTGCCTAATCTGCATGCAGGGCCTGTGTCCGGTGGGCTGGACTAGATACGTGGTGCCAGTGGGAAGTGACGTGCCCGTGCTGAGGCCCCACAGGGCAGTGTGGGGACCCTTTCCTCCCCCGAGACTTCCCATGTCCTAGTGCCCTGTTGGGGCAGACGCTGCTCCCCACCTCTTCCTCCCTGTTCTGCTCCGCAACCTCCAGGCAGACACTCGTGCAGACTTAGTGCCGGGGGCAAGGGCGGAGGGAGCCAGGAGCACCGGTTAGCTTGGGCCCTTGGGACCCCCCGGCCCCCTTAGTGGCTGAGGACTGGATGGCTGGGTCTCGGCCTCTGGTCTGGACAACCTGGGTCCCTCTCAGAGCTGTGGGAGAGGCACTGCCCCCGAGAGCTCCCCCTGGGGCCCTAGGCCTGCCTTGGTTTTCCCTAGAACTCATTGTCTTTTAATGCATACTGTCATACTTACATGAATTCCGCAGGACACTGACACCAAGACCACCTCCATCTGGACTAGGTTTTTTCTCTTAGTGGGAAAACTGCAAGCTCTGGTGTGGGTCAGGCCTTGCCAAGACCCCTGGGAACTGCCCGTGTGCTGTTTCCTTCTCTGTCTCCACTTCCCAGCTGACAGCTACCAGAGTGGGGGGAAGATCCTTAGAGCCAAGACTGGGCCAGAGGGCCCTGGGCGGCTCCCAAGCCCCTTCCCTGAGGAAGCAGGCTGCGTGGGGCCAGGGCAGACCGCGCTGTCTCTGTGGAAGCCCCATGCCGGCAGCTGGACAGGGCTCTGTGGAGGGGTCACAGCAGATCTGCTGAGGGCCCAGTGGCCTGTAGAGGTGTACCTCGGAACCACGAGAGGACCCTAATTCAGACGGCTCCCTAGGGTCCTCCCTGCACAGCCCCCTGCCCACTCAGATGTGTCTGAGTCACTGAGAAACAGGACAGGGCACTGGGATTGCTGGTGAGGGAGCACTGCAGTAGCTGGTCGGTGGGCACCTGCCCTTCCGGCTGCATGGGCCTGGACTCCCTCCTCACAGGACAGTCGTGGCCTGCCTGCGTCCTTGGATTTTCTAAGGAGCCAGGGGGCAGTGGCTGTGGGCAGCCCATGGTAGGGCTTGGGAAGCCAAGCTGCCCCGAGCCACTGCCCTCACCATGGCGAGACCGTCTCACCAGCCCTCCCCTCAAGTCAGACAACATACTCAGTCCTACTGAGGCCAAGGCCGGTGTTCCTGTACTCCTCGGCCCTCAGAGCCCTTCCCCACCCCTCCAGGGCTGTTGGAGGTGGGTCAGGATGGTGGGAGCTGGGAGACTGGAGGGGGCAGGGGGCATGCAAGCGGTATGCCTTCAGCTGGCCTGGGGTGGTCCAGTCTGGTTTTCTCCTCGGTGAGCCCATAAGTGGGGCAGGGACGGGGTGTGCAATATCTTGGTTAAAATCTAGGTTATTGGCAGTGATGTCACTGGCATCACCGGCTGCCGGGCGCGCTGGGAAGAGGGTTGTGGGGGAGGGACCATGGGGGCACAGCAGGCAGAGAGGGGCCCAACCCCAAAGGCTGGTGATTCCTTGGGCACCGGCTCCCCGTACCCCAGGCTCTTTCTGTGCACTGGCCTGGCCTGGTCGGGAACATCCTCACACCCCCTGGGCAGCTGGTGGCCTGGGGCCTGGACGAGAGTCAGGCAGCTCTCTGAGCTGGTGGCATCCGGAATGTTCTAAGGTGAAGTTCTGGGGCCTCAGGGACGTGGGAACCCTTTCTTCTTTCTGGCTTCAGTCTCCCCACCTGCCAAGGGAGAGTCGGCCTGAGTGACCTTCAGAGGTCTTCTGACCAGCACCCTGTGTGCAGGGCCTTGTGGCTGGGCACCCCCACCCCAGGGAAGAGCCATTAGCAGCTCCTACATAGCGGGCCTCTTGTTGTGGAAATTAAGGGCTTAAACACCACAGGTGAAGTGAATGGACTCCTGACGGCTCCCCCAGCAGCGGCCCCCCACCCCGTCCCATGTCTCCCCTCCTCCCACGACCTGCATCCTTATCCATAGGTGGAGGAAGATGGTTGATTTACCCTCTTCCCTCGAAGGACGAAGGACGCAGGGATGTTTCTGATTTGTTGCTGTTAGGAGTGGTGGCACCGGGGAGGCCCTAACCGTGAGGGTGTTGATGGGGCCGGGTCAGACTCGTCCCACCTCGCAGGGGGCTCCCTGCGAGCATGTCAGCTGCTAGGCAGGGAGCTCCAGGGCAGTGCGGGCCGTAGGGGTCAGTGTTGGTTCTGGGGTGGGGAGGCACGGGGGCCGTACAGGGTCTGCTCCCCAGTCTCGGCTCCTTTACGCTCCTTGGGCACATCGGTCCCTGCAGGCTGCGAGCAGTGGTGGCCAGGATGGGTCCCCCCACTAAGTGGAGACAGACAGACACAAGCTGGACCCTGAACCAGTACTGAATCATGGCTGGGCAGTCAGCGTCAGGGCAGGCTGCCCCCTGGCCCCTGGGAGGGAGGCTGTGGGGTGGGGGGACTGAGCCAGCAGAGGGCATGGCGAGGGAGGCTCCGACACCCACCTAACCCCTCCTCTGTCCTCTGTGGTTCTGACCACCTTCTGGCTTCCAGGCCTGGCCAGCCTTCCCAGCCCGCTCCCCTCACGGGGCAGATGTTGAATCACGCACGCAGCCGTGGCTCCCTGTGGGAGACGCCAGCTTCCGTGTGAACCCTTTCCCAGGAGGGGACCTCCACTGGGGCCTAGCTGGTGTGCCAGGGCATGGCTGGTGGCCCGAGAGCTGGTGGCCAGCATGTGTGGTGGCCCCGGGTGGTCCTGCTCCTTCCCCGGATGTGCCCATTGTCCCCACGCCTGGACGCAGGACAGACCTTGCCTTTTTTTCTCCCCCTCTTTGTTGTTTATTGAAGTGTTTATACAGAATAAAATGGACTAATTTTAAGTGTATAGATGACAAGTTAGGTCGTTGTAATCAGTCAAGTACCACAGTCACCATCAAGATACGCAACAGTTTACTCCCCTCAAATGTCTCCCGAGGTCCTTCCCCGCTACCCACCCCTGGCCTCAGCAGCCACCCACCTGCTTCCTGTCACTGTGGTTTTTCCTTTTCTGGAGTCTCTGTAAATGGAATCACAAAGAATGGAGTCTTCTTTTTTTTTAATTGAAGTATAGTTGATTTACAATGTTGTGTTAGTTTCAGGTGCACAGCGTAGTGATTCAGTTATACTTATGTGTGTGTGTATATTGTTTTCATACTGTTTTTATTATAGGTTACTACAAGCTATTGAATATAGTTCCCTGTGCTCTACAGTAGGACCTTGTTGTTTATCTATTTTGCACTTAGTAGTTTGTATCTGCTAATCTCAAACTCCTGATTTATCCCTCCCCTCCTTTTCCTTTGGTAACCATAAGTTTATTTTCTGTGCCTGTAAGTTTGTTTTGTAAATAAGTTCATTTGTATCATTTTGGAGACTCCACACATGTGATATCATATGATATTTGTCTTTCTCTGTCTGACTTACTTCACTTAGAATGACAATCTCCAGGTCCATCCATGTTGCTGCAAATGGCATTATTTCATTCTTTTTTATGGCTGAGTAGTATTCCATTATATAAATATACCACGTCTTCTTTATCCAGTCATTTGTCAATGGACATTTAGGTTGCTTCCATGTGCTGGCTGTTGTAAATAGTACTGCTTTGAACATAGGGGTGTATATATCTTTCTGTATTAGAGTTTTCTCTGGATATGTGCTGGATTATATGGTAACTATTTTTAGTTTTTTAAGGAGCCTCCATATTGTCTTCCATAGTGGCTGCACCAAATTACATTCCCACCAACAGTGTAGGAGGGTTCCCTTTTCTCCACACCCTCTCCAGCATTTATTGTTTGTGGTGGAGTCTTTTATTTTTGACTTTTTTCTTTTACTGTATCTTGAGATTGATTCATCCCTGAGGTTCTCAGTGTGGGTCCTTGGTCCTCTTGGTTGCTGAGTAACCTCCCACGCTGGGGACATGCCACTAGTTGCAGTGGTGTTGGGCTTCTGTCATCTCACCGCCGTGACGTCCATGTGCAAATGGGGCTGCATTTTTGTTCATCTATCGAAATGATTATTATATTATTTATATCCAATGATATATTTTGTTGGTTTTCTCC